GATAGCAAAACCACAAAGTTACGTGCAGTTTTCGACGGTTCAATGAGAACCAATAAAAAAGTTTCCCTGAACGATTTGTTATTAAACGGACCAATCGTTCAGAGAGATCTATTTGAAATATTACTATTATTTAGATTTGGTAATTTTACATTCACTACTGATATCAAACATATGTTTCGAAATATCCATGTAATACCGGAGCACACCTCTTTACAAAATATTTTGTGGAGAGATAGCCCAGATGAAAATATTAAGTGCATCAGGCTTGACACAGTGACCTATGGTCTAAAAAGTTCTAGCTTTCTTGCCACCAGATGCCTCAAAGAACTGGCAACACAGAATGCACAATCATTACCGCTAGCATCATACATTTTACATAAATGTACATATGTCGATGACGTTTTGTATAGTCATAATAATTTAGACACTGTTTTAGAAGCTAAATCACAACTAAAGCAGCTGCTTCAATTAGGTTCTTTTTATACCCACAAATGGTCTTCTAACGATGACAGAATACTAGCTGATATTCCTTCAACTGAACAGCACTTTGATAATCTTGAACTTCAAAAAAAATATTATAGCTTAGAGGCTCTAGGTCTAACAATGTTAGTAAAAGATGATCAATTTAAAATTGCATGTCCAGAGCCATTTAATATAGAAAATTTTTACAAAAAGAGATATTCTTTCATATATAGGAAGATTTTATGATCCTATGGGGTTTGTATCCCCCATCATAGTACAAGCAAAAAGCATAATGCAAAAATTATGGCTTTCAAAAACAGATTGGGACTCGATGCCTGATGATGATATTAAAAATGAGTGGCTACAATTCTGTTCGAGTCTAGCCACAATGAAGCCCATTTTAATTAATAGAAATGTATATTTAACTAATTTTGATGTAGTTGAGCTCATAGGTTTCTCAGATGCCTCCAGCTTGACGGCATACGGTTGCTGTGTCTACCTGCGCATCACTGACCCAAAAGGTAATGTAAAAATGCATTTACTCTGTTCGAAGTCACGTATAAATCCCATTCAAAACAAACGCAATACTGTGCCTCGCCTAGAGCTTAACGCAGCGTTACTTCTTTCTATGCTAATAAGCAAAGTTCGAAGCACAATAAAACTTAAAATCGCTATCAGCAATATTTATTTATTCACCGATTCTAAGATCGTTCTTGCATGGTTGCACGAAGAACCTATGCGTCTTAATGCTTACGTGGCGAACAGAGTAAAAGCAATAACTAACAATATATTATTATCTGAATGTCGCTGGCTCTATGTTAACACTGCACATAACCCTGCGGATTATGTCAGTAGAGGGGTACCGCCGAGTGAGCTTGCTCTTTGTACCGCATGGTGGAATGGGCCCAGTTTTTTGCATGACAGTCAGTATAATTTTAGTTTACCTATTAGCTTACCTAAGGACATACCTGAGACAAAATCAGCAACCTCATCAGCACTCTCAAGCAGCCAGGTACCCAATGATGTTTTCGATAGTATACGCAATTTTTCTAACATCATAAAATGGTACGTACATTAGCTTACATTTTGAGATTCGTAAATAACCTAAAAGGCGATAAGCATACTAATAAATTTTTGTCTAGCTCTGAGATTAATAAGGCTTTAATGTTGCTCGTTAAAACGGAACAGGAAATGTATTTCAAAGAAGAAATAAATTGTTTAAAAAATAATAAAAATGTTAAGGGTCATTTACAAAGCTTATTTCCCTTCATTGATTGTTCTGGTGTATTGCGCGTAGGTGGACGCTTACACCACTCTAATATCCCTTATGCTCAAAAGCATCAAGCTATATTACCAAAAGAGTCGCTTGTTACTCAATGTATTGTAAGGTCAGAGCATGAAAGACTTTTGCATGCAGGTCCCAAGTTATTATTGTCTAATTTAAACCAAAGATTTTGGATAATTAATGGTGTATCATATATAAAGAAAATAACCAAGAAATGTATAACATGTTTCAGACAGAAGGCAGCCGCCACAAAGCAGTTGATGGGTTCCTTGCCGGCTGATCGGGTGACGGCTATGAGTCGCCCGTTCGAGAAAGTGGGAGTAGATTTCGCTGGCCCGATTAAAGTGAAACTCTCGCGCGTAAGACGCTCCCTGGAGGGAAAAGGGTACATTTGCGTTTATGTTTGTTTTGCAACCAAGGCAGTACACCTTGAACTCACTTCAGATCTCACTACCGAAGCTTACCTAGCGTGCCTTAGAAGATTTATTTCAAGGAGAGGATTACCCAAAGAAATCTACTCTGACAATGCCAGTACATTCAAATGCGCACGGAACCAATTAACTGAGCTTTATCAACTGCATTCTTCACACAGTCACCACAACAAGGTGTCTCAATTTGCAGCTCAGAATGGCATTAATTTTCATTTTATTCCTAAGTACTCTCCTACCCTTGGAGGACTGTGGGAGGCATCAGTCAAAAGCACTAAATATCACCTAAAAAGAGTTTTACAAAGTCAATTATTAACATATGAACAAATAAATACTGTATTGATAGAGATTGAATGTACTCTAAATTCTAGGCCGCTCATACCTTTATCTTCATCTGATATCAATGATTTTAGTTATCTAACACCTGGACATTTTATAATTGGAAATGCTCTTACTATGTACCCAGAAACAAATTTAACTAATGTAAAAATAAATAGACTTAAGTTTTGGCAATTGTGTACTCAAATTAAACAATCCTTTTGGAAAATGTGGTATAAACAGTATCTTAATGTATTACAGAATCGACCAAAATGGTTAGATAAGGTCCCAAATGTAAAAGAAGGCAGTCTTGTAATTTTAAGAGAAGATAATGTGCCCACAATGTCATGGCTTATGGCCAGGGTTACTAAAATATTTCCAGGCCACGATGGGCTAGTTAGAGCGGTGGAAGTTAGAGCTTCCTCAGGCAAATGTCATGTACGTTCTATTTCAAAAATTAGTTTACTACCGTTACATGATTAAAGTGTCTTTTGTATTACAGTCTTATAACCAATTGTTTAATTTTAAACTGTAGATGTTATGTATGTTCCATTTCAAAAATTAGTTAACTACTTTTATAAGATGAAAGTTTCTTTTGTATCACACACTTTCTTGTAACCTATTGTTTAACTTTAACCTGTTCAGCTAAGCAACTCTTGTGAGGCCGCAGCATGTTGGAATGTTTCCCAACACTAAATATTGTGCACAGCACTAGTTGACCAGCAGCGTCTCTCGCTGACTCTCTCTCTCCATTACCGGCCACCGTATTGTACGGACGTGCTTCCTATTACATCTAATTTAACTACTTCTGAGTAAGTTCTAGCCATAATACCAAGTTTTTCAGTGTCTGTGCTTACAGTGTATTTACTTTCGTGTCTATGTGCATAAATATATACCTTGACCGACGAACCAGTGTTTGTGTTACTACCATTCAACCTAACTACAGTCCGCTAACAACCGAACACACTCTCAAAAGTAATGCTTTCGTGTGATGCGTGCAATCGTACCAATTCAGAGACAGAAAATTAACAAGTGTTTTTCTTTAAGTTGACATTGATCGAAATGTTTTATTTATATGTTATCGTTAGTAACATTATTTATTGTTGAAAAATTATTAAAACTCGTTTCATCATAGTTTTTTTTCAATAATCAAAGTTAATTCAAACTGTTAAAAAATTAAATATAAATATGGATGAAGGTACAAACATTGACTTTTTTTTTCAACACTGAACTTAGCACACTGCTGGTGCATTTGAAAACTAATTCACGTTCCAATTAAGCATCAGCATAATTCGGCATTGTGCGCCACTGAGTCGCATTATGCTCTGTAATTGGAAAACCACCATCAGTAAGGGAAGACTGGGGATTTTGTCGCCTATTGACGCATGATCGACACACTATGGATGCCTACAAATGTTTCCATAGCAACCGGTAAACAAACATAACATCTGTCAACTTAGTGGTGAACGTGGACTTTTTATGCATTTTTAAACAAATTTAATTAAGGGGGAGTATAAATTACGATAATAATCATTTCTATTTGTAAGGATATACGAGAAAAACCTGTGCTAGTGAAAATCGAGTGTTCTGACAAAGTTCAGTTAGTTTTGAATTTATCACAAAGTGTAAGTTAAAGCAAATATTGTTTATTACTTTTATAAGGGCATACAATAGCTTTTAAATATGTAGGATGAAAGAATAAAAGGTGTGAGTGCAGTAATAGAACAGTAGTAACTATAATGACGCTTAAAGCGAGACCAATCGTTCATCTCTGATGATGTCGTTATTATTCTTAAACCTCAGCTAGATTTCCCATCTACGAGTACCTAATGTTGTTGTTCATGTGACAGGTTGTCATGCTTACATTTGAAGTATTTACTTCAATAGGTTACCTGGAAAAGATTGCTGCTAAGCATTAGGGCCTGTATCATCATAATTAAGATCTCCTCTGCTGGGGCACAGGATGCCCCTATATATGAAAGAGAGATAATGGACCTTTACCCATTACATATTAAATGCCAGATTGGTGGGTAACGACGAGCGACTGCAGATGCAGTCGAGACCAACGGCTTGAAGTGCCTTTCAAAGTATTTTTTTCGAGGCGCAATAAATTACCTCACCCCATCTGATGTTAAGTGTAAGTGGAGTCCAGTCAGAAAGATAGATGATGCGGAAGTTCTGCTGCTTCAGGCATCCTCACCTTGAAGGCCTGTACCCAAACCCCTACCCAGCGGAGCCCTACTTATCAGCAGAAACACAACTCCACCAAAAGTTTGTGTTATTTTACTGTAATCTTTTGTAAGGTGAAGGTTGCTTCCCCAGACGGGTGGTCTAATACGAGCGGAAAATCCGCTGTGCCCTAACTTTCTTTTTTACCACCTATCTATTAACCAGCCATTGCGGAAGTTGAAAGAAATTTCCACTATCGCAGACGAGCTCTTCACAAGGTTTGAGGATAACATGATTTTTCATATGATGATAATTTCTATAATGATATATTTTTTTAGCTATAACAGCAATGGATTTAAACATAATGGATAAGCTGCGTCTCTTAAAAATAGACACAGAATTGCGTCCACAAATAAAGATGAAACCAATGAGTAGATACTATTTTATCGCTTCGACCAACCCTGGGGAGCAATTTTATATGTTCGCATCTGTAGCCGCTTGGCTCATCAGAAAAACCGGTAAAGACTTCGAACAGCCACACGAAGAAGATGACCCTAATACTATAATCACAAATATAATCGATTTCCTAAGAGAAAAGGATATTTCCGTTGAAGTTTCTCCTAATAAACTGAAACCGGGTAACGGTGAACAAGTGTGTCATATTCTGAACGTTTTAGCGCAAGAAGCGATGAGAGCACAAAATTTCGAATGGCAAAAACCGATTGTAGACATTCACGAGACTGAAGAAAACACGGATGACTTGGACCAAGTTGAAGATGAAACTGAAATAATCCTTGATAAGGTGGAAGAAGAAATGGAAATATATTCAGACGAGTCTGACGATGAATACGGCGATGTAGAGGAAAAGGAATCAAATAATATTAGTAATAAAGTTCATGATTGGGAGGCATGGAAATTGGAACTGGAGAGAGTAGCACCAGCGTTGAGACTTAAGATAACTGCGGACGGTCGTGATTGGCGTGCGAGACATGCGCAAATGAGGAGTTTCAGGGACGACTTAATGGATAAGTTCAAAACCACAGGAACTCAATTGAACAAACTGCACTCTAACATAAGTTCGGTGATAGACAAAATAACATCCAGGGAGAATATAATAAATGAACAATTCGAGCCTTCGGTGAGAGAGTACGGTTCACTGCTAGACGAACTGAATAAAGTCACGCATGAGTATCAGGAAGTTAGTGTTGGTGTTACTGAGAGACAAGAAACGCTGAATGAAATCACCGCTAAAGTAGAAAATATAAAGCAAAGGACGGAATCTAGAGGGTCCTCAATGAACGACAACTCTCCTCTAGTGACGGCAAAGAAAGCAGTCTCGATATTGAAGAAGGACATACAAGAGATGGATTTCCAGATTATAATCTTGCTGTGGTTTTTGACGACTAAGGAGAATCCAAATAACAATAATTTTCTAGCAAACGCCGAATCTAGAATAGTTGCGACCGAAGCTTACTGATTGCTCTGAAAACTGAAAGTATTAAAAATTTAATAAAATACTTCAGAGTAAGGAAACAGAATGGTTTTATTTATGATGTTATAGATTAAAAATATTTTATCACTTAAAAATATATTATGCGTTAAATACAATTTTTATCTTCAATAAAATACTAGATGGAAAAAAAATACAAATGGTTGGTTAAGATTTACATATGAAATGATAAAAATATTTAATAGTTTCTTTGGTTTAAGTAGGAGCATTAGATAGGTATAGAATTAGGTTACAATAATAATAATTAGGACACGATTCTATAAGTAATCCTACAATAAGGTATATTCCTTATTCAGGTTAAACATGGTATTGGTATGTATGTTCTCCAAAACAGACTAATATATCTGTCTGACTTTGAGCGTTATTTCACTTCACATAAGGTTCACAATCTAGTTTTTTTTTAATTACACTTTGTTCCATTGTGTGTGTGTGTTTTGTTGACTGTACATTTCATCATATTTGATATTTTCATTTCAGCATTAAACTCTTTACATTTCATCAATCCAGCTAGCTAACAAACCTTCATAAATGTGACATATTTGTTACTTTTTCTCTTTCCACGAATACGAATGTTTTAATTTTTAAGTGGGAAAGGTATTTTTAGTTACGTCATATAATATTTACAGTATTTTTTGGCTTTGAAGGTGACTTTGAACATGAAAAAAAGATTAGTTAGACAATAAGTTAACACAAAAATAATTTCGTATAAAAATAAAATTTAATATGAACAATTCTTTGTAATTTAATAACTAGTATGTGCACGAGTCTTATTAACTATTGGGAAAAACAACTTAATTTTTACATTATATTTTCGTTACTGCAATACTGGCGCCTATTAAGTTTTATGCTTATGAAAAGTGTCATATTGTCTCATTCTGTTGCCATAACGAGGACAGTGTTTGCATCAACTTTAATGAAACTTAAAAATTATGCAGCTTTATATTTTAACAGATTTTTCTAGTATTTGAAAGTAAGTTGATATTTTTTAAAGTTAAGGCATAGAGGCATAGAGGTATAAGAATAGAGTAGGGCAGATATAGACTCTACTATAAGTGGAAGTGTCCCTGTAATAGAAAGAGAAAGAAGATGAGAGACCGTTAACTTTCTCTCTCTAATCATTGGCAACCGTAAGCATCTTACTATTTCGATGTGATACCATTGGATGCCATACGTCATAAGGGTGAGAGAGATAGCTAGCGGTCTCTCATCTACTTTCTCTTTCTACTAGACGGACAATTTTAGAGCCGCCTTCTCCACTCTATTCTTATACCTCTATGGTTCCAGTACCCAAATAAGAGTAAAACAATGTAATTATTGCATCGGGTGTCCGAATTCGAGTAATTTTTCGAGGACCCGAATACGGGCTAACGACCAAGTGTGCAATGGCGCCTTTACTTGGAGGTTGTCCACTAATCACGTGACTTTTAGCATCTTTTAACCCTCTCCTCCACCCCTTGGCGACGCATCGTGAGGTTTCAGGCTACCCATATCCAAAACCACCTGATTTTTAAGTACTTACAAAAGATATGGGAAATTTTCAGAATATTATTTTTCAATCGTGTGTGGGTGAGTCTAGGAGATGTGCCGCTGTTTGGTTTAGAAATCGTGCGATCAACGAAAAATATATACACGTGATATCTCATTATATCTCACCCTCCTCGTGAATTTTTTTTTTAAATCTTGCCCCTCTTTCTAACCTCACGTGAATAATGGACTATCCTTTGCATATTTGAAGGTTACAGTTTTAATTAATTAAGGATCTATTCACTTCAGTTGTTATTACACTCGAATAGCAAATAGATAGAAGATTGAGCTTTATCTCAAGAAGATTAAAGTACAAGTTTGTATCGACAACGCCATAAAATTTCAGTATTAAAATGTACTTTATTATGCGGAGATAAGACTCCAAATTCATATGAAGTTTTCGAAATGTAAATCGATCGCAATGAGATAAAACTTCAAATGTTCACAGACCTACACACATCAAAAGTGTCTAGGGATCAAGCATTTTTATACGGATTTCTTGAGATTGAGATGTGGCTTTGTAATAAATTTATGATTTTATAAATTTATATGGATCCTTTTTGGTGCATTTCATAATTTGAATCAGGAACTGTGAATCAAATTCGAGTAAAAGATGAAAATCAGCTGTCAATATTTTCCCTATAAAAAACATACAACGCATTGAAGACATTATTAGTGCTACTGTTTCCCTACTACTGATTAAAACCAACGTTATTATGGAGCGGCGACGTCATTTAAGCAGGGAAGAAATGCTCAGAGCCGTGGGAATGATAGAAGCTGGTTCCCGGCAACGTACTGTGGCTTTAGCTCTGAATACAAGTCAGAGTGTTATCAGTCGACTTTGGACACGATACCGAAGCACTGGTACCGTGGCTGAGCGCCATGGAGGACGGTATCGCTGCACCACACGGAGACAAGACCGATACATTCAAATCTTAACTCGAAGAGCTCCAACAATAACCGCCATGATGTTAGCCGTGAGGCTTCATCACTCTTCAGGGAACTTAATTAGCGACCAAACAGTCAGAAACCGCTTGCATGAAGTGAACCTTCATTCCCGAAGACCGCTACGGGTACCACCTATAGCAATGCACAATCGTAGGATTCGATATCAATGGGCTCTTGAACACAGAAATTGGGCAGAAGAACAATGGCGTTTCGTGTGCTTTTCTGATGAGTCTCGTTTTGGTATGAGACCGGATACAAGACGTATACGACACTGGAGAACCCCTGGACGTCAACAGCGATTAAAATCCTGCCAGGAAGTCCATCCTTATAGTGGTGGAACCATCATGGTATGGGCGGGTATTTGGATCGGCGGAAGAACTGAGTTGATTTGGATCAGAGGCAACCTCAACGCTCAAATTTATGCTGAGACGATTGTATCAGACGTCATCGTTCCTCTACAAGTGCAAATCGGTCCCTTATTTCAGTTAATGCATGATAATGCACGACCGCACACCGCAAGAGTTGTAAGACAGACTCTCGCCGCAGCTAACATCAATGTCCTGCCCTGGCCTGCTCAGTCGCCAGACTTGAACCCGATTGAGCATGCATGGGATATGCTACAGAGAAGAGCTCTGCCGAATATGGAGGGTATCCAGTCGCAAGAAGACCTTTTTTTGTTGTTGCAACGAACATGGGCGGCCATTCCACAGCGTGATTTGGATGAACTCATTTTGAGTATGCCAAACCGATGTTCTTGTGTTGTTAGTGTTCGCGGTAGAAATACGGATTATTAATTGTTTAAGTTACCCAATAAAATTTTAGAGAAAACTGTTATTTCAGTCTTTTTTTCGAACTTTTGTGTTAGTGGTTCAAATGTCAAAAATCCCTCTATTAGGAAAATGGCAAATTTCTTTATTAATGCAAAGGTGACTTGGTTTATCGTTACTGTGACAAACGAAAACACTTTATTTGATGAATCCTTAAAGAAAATTTTAATTAATATCAATCAGGAGAAAAGTTATTGCAAAAATATATGTTGATCCCTAGACACTTTTGATGTGTGTATTTTCAAATATGGAAAACTTTAAACGATGTTTCTATAACATGTTTTTATAACATTATTTAGGCATGAAAAATTCATCTTTTTACAGGCAACGAATAGATTTAATTTTTTCGCACCAACAACAGATTTCTCACAGCCTTACTTATTTCGATTATTAAAATATATTCCCTTTTACAATTTGATTAAACCATGTTAATTTAGGAATATAAAAAGTAAATAATTAAAAATAAAATATAAAAATATACAAGCTTCTAACGGCACTTCATTTAAAAAATACACTTTACTCTTTACAATATTTTAATACATGAAACTCTTACAAATTCAATGTAAAAAAAAAATACTCACTTCTTTAAGCAACAAAGAAAAACAATTTAAAAGATACTAATCTAGAGAAAAGTTTACTAGAAAAAGAATCCGACGGGACTCGAACCTACACCTTCCGCTATCCTGCTGCCAGGACCACGTGGATATTTTTCTTGTAAAATTCTCTTAAGATTTAAACTTCTAGCTGTTAAATGCATAAAAGATAAAAACAAAACATAACTACTTTTAATGATTAAAAAATATTAAAAAAATAAATGTAAACATATTTGATTTTAATCTACAACTATTCTTATTTTTTTGACAGATCGACGCCCATGAAATTTCGTATTGTTTACGTTAAAATGTCATACAGATAATATTGTACTTTATGGACCCCTTTAATTTAATGGCGCAATACACCACCACAATATGGTGTTGCCAACCCTCAAAAATATTCAAACGTAAAAAGTCGAAAGATATAGTTTTTTATATACCTTTTTTTAAATGAAATTATTAATTATAATCAATAAATCTAATGGTACAGGGTATTAGAATAAACAAACATATAAAAAGTAAACTGCTTTTTTTGATATTTATTTAATCATATTATAGATAAATCACACTCAGACACAGAACAAATACTCGTGCTCATCACTCAAAAATTTGTACTAGGTAAAATAATAAATTTAATGAGGTTTTGTAATAATTTATTAAACACCAGTATTTTTAATAACTAAAATAATTTCGATACTTATAATCGATTAAACACTATTCTAGCATAAAATCGATTATAGCTTTAAATCGAACGAGTTATGTGATAGGGTGTCACTATTTTTACTTCCATCGATCTGTGAAAAAAGATAATAATATAAAATTTATCACTAAATTCGATTTGCTTCAAACTCCATTCCCTGCAATACCTTCATAACTTTCTATTAGCTATGGTTGTTGCTTATCGTCAGGTTCCTTATCTCCGTTTTTATATAATATGGTTGTATCAATTTGATATCGATTAAAGATAATAATTGTTATATTGAATCAAGATATTGCGTATCAAAATTTTACAAACCTATTCGAATATTACTAGGGTATATTTTAGCACTGGGATGGTAATTTAGGACAAGCAACTTAGCCAAGACAAGCTATTTTAAAGTACTACTTTTGTCTGTTTTACTTTTTGTCAATAGTATTTTCTAATCATATTCTAAGGAGAATGAAAAGAAGATCAACTGTCAAATGTGGTTTCAGGTTAAAAAAATGCAGCATTAGGCCAAATGTAATTTTTTGTTAGACAATAATAAAACTATTTATACTATTATAGAATACAGTCATAATAAAAATCTTTACTACCCATGGTTGGTAGGTAGGTAGGTACTTATTTTTTGTATATTTAACACACAAAATATTTTCATTTTAAGGTGTATTTTTGTGTACACAAATGATAATGTACTGTTCACATTTTGTAATTTAAACATTGCAAAATTAACTAAACTACTTATATTTATCACATATTTTCATCCTTACTGTGTTAGATATAAGGTTTCAGTCGTAAACAATTTACGAGTGGATAACTATTACCACGCAGGCCCAGGGTGGCTTGGTGGGTGTTAATGCAGATGCAGCCGGACAGCCAACGGCCTAAAGTGTCTCTGAAGTAATGATGAGTTCATTGATTTTTAGTTTATTAAAAGGAACATATTTTAAAGGGAGAAAAAAAAGCGAGTGTGCTAATGACCACACGACTGAAGTGAAACTTCTTTAGCTACAATGATCAGAAATTAACCTGAAGATTTGTTGATAGAAAAAAAATGGCGTAGAATTATTAGTAAAAGACTAAATTGTTATTGATTTATTAATGATAAATTACGTCGTATAATTAATTAAAAAACATATTTCAATAGTTAACATCAAGTAAACATGTAAGTCAGCTCTAGATTTATATATTTTGTGACGGGTATTGTTCATTGTTTACCGATTAGTCACCGATGACACTAATCGTAACGCGTAACTGTAACACATTCGCCAGTTTACCCCCAAGTCAAGCGTGCCTAAAGAAGTTTCACTTCAAAAAGGTTTTTTAATAACCTTTTTGAAGTGAAACTTCTTTATAACAACATATAAATATCACAACATCAGTTTACATTTTGAATCAGAAATCAGTCTTAATATTGAAGAGGTGGCAGCAACATAATATTCAATATGAAATCCAATCAAACTATGTTAAGTGTCAAGTGTTATTTACTAGAAATTTAAACCTTATTTCATTGTAGAAAAAAACAATATTGGTGTCGATTCTGGTATGATTCTCTAAAGCTAAACTTAAATTTGACAATAGTGAATCCCTGTCATTCTCTATACGGAATGAGAAGGACAGGCTAATGTTAAATTTAGTTTTAAGTTTAGAGAATCCTGTCAGAATCGACACCATTGTCCCCCTTATTCCAAACGCGGACTAAAGTTTTGGTTTAAACCTAACGTTGTCTCTGTTTTATTTTAAGCAAACATAGGTGACAGCATCAGTTTTAGTCCAGGTTTAACTTTAGTCTACGTTTTGTAATAAAGCGCTTTAGGTTGTGATTCGCATTGGGCTGGCTTCGCCAGTGGTAATGGAAATGGATATAGTACGATATCGGATCTGGATCAGAATATAGTTTTCATGAAAATTATACGGACTCTGGACACAGAAAAAAAATATCCGATTATTTCGGATATTATGTTAAGTTATGATACTATGTATATTAAGGATTTTTGGAAAGGAAATTGTCTCTTTTTCGAAACTTGTAGAAAGTTTTCCTTAAGGATTAGGGTATTTTTATTATTTCAAATTTCCAATCTTTTTGGTTACGATTAAGGAACTGTCTAAAGTTTTTTTAATTTATTGGTTCTTAGTAACAACTGTTAGTATGGTATGGTGGTATGAATGCAATTTTTAACGGCAGATTAACTTCAAAGGTATATCAATTTGAACCGTGTGACATTGTAAATAAGGTGGAGTTCTGACTGAACACTTGAATCTTTTAAGCTCTTTTACTTCTACCGAATAGAATGGTCGGAAGGGCTTTATTGGGTAAGTTTTAATAATTTGGTCTGACAACATTTTACAACTTAACATAGACTAAATATAAGGCAAATAATAAGATTTAATTATGCCACATTAGCTGTCAACTTAAGTGGACTACGCTAAACAAGCACTTAACATCAGGTGATTTTTTAGGGTTTTTATTAGATCAGGTCAGGTCATTTATTACATTTTAATAAATTAATAATAAAATCTTTTTAGTTAATATCCTTAGCTTGGTCGAGTATTAGACTTTTCGCTTGTCCGAGGAACACGGAGTCCTGTTTGGATTGTTCGTCGAAGGTAACGTTGTATTTCCTCTTGAGATCGTCCATGAACTCCTGTTTGAGGAGTGCTAAGCATCTGAAAGGAGAGAATTTTTGGTTTAGTGCAGGTATTTCTTTTTCTTATATTTAATGTAGGTATATATCAGAGGAACTCGATGGCTCAGGTTAACGCGTTCGGCTGCGATCGTTGAAGTTAAGCAACTTTCTTAGTGGTCGGTCATTGGATGGGTGACCAAAAATCTTCAATCTCGAGTTCCTCCGTGCTTCGGAAGGCACGTTAAGCCGTTGGTCCCAGTTGCATCTGCAGTCGTTAGCATCCGCCAGCACGCACTAGGCCCGCTTCGTGGGTCATGGCCCAATCTCCCTATTCCATCCATAGGGAAGGCCTGTGCCCCAGCAGTAGGGTCATTAATAGGCAGATTATGATGATGAATATTTCCTATTCAACGACCTCCGTGGCCGAGTGATTTGTAAGCCGGGTTTCACGGTGTCGCTGACTCGAGAGATCCCGGGTTCGAATCCCGGTAGGGGCAGATGTTTGTGTGATGAATACGAGCATTTGTGGTCTAGGCATGGATGTTTAATGTGTATTTTTATATAAATATACTTATGTATGTACAGTATATGTATTCTATCCGTTACCCTAGTATCCCATAACGAAAACCATACAGTGCTTACTTTAGGGCTAGGCTAATTGGTGTGTGTATGAAATATTTATTTATTTATTCGTTGATTCTACTCACACGCGGTAGTGCGGGTCGGCTCGGAAGGCGGTAATGTCCGGTGAAGGTGCGTGCGGGGTATGAACTACGAACGCGTCGGGCAGAACTACGGCGCGGTAACCTTGCGCGCGCAGTTCGACGCTATGCGATACCTGACCCAAACAATGGGAAGCATTCAACATTACGTTGTTTAATAGTTATTCAAAATCAGAAAATCAAAAACCATTTATTCTGTCTAGGCTGTTACAAGCACTTGTGAATGTCAAGAAGCTACGCCATCGGATCACAAACCTACGGCGGGAGACCTTGTACTGAGAAGAACCGGTAAGAAACCCAGCAATGATCTGTTTTTTTCTCCCTGTATTGATATTTATATATACAGAGTCGTCAAGTTGAAAAATTACTTCAGATATACTTCTGAAGTCACCTTCCATTACATCTTTAGAATAAAGATATATAGTTACAATCAATTTTATAGTTAACTTTATATTTAGCAAAACACCTAAAGTGCATTGATTTCAGAAATTTTTATTGGACTGTTTCTATTGTTTTAACATACTTATTGTATAGTGGGTTCCATATAGGTACCGTGTATTCCAAACGGGGACGAACCAAGGTTTTATAAAGATGCAAGTAGGTCGAATAATTCTTAAAAGCCTTGGATGACCTCATAATAATACCATACATTTTATATACCTTCCTAAAGATTTCTTCGATGTTTCGATTTCTCAAAGTGGAATCCCAAGATCCCGTATAGATGAGACTTTATTTAATTTTGAGTTACAAATGGCATAGTCAAAGCGCAGGATGTGTTATTTCTTTGTAAAACTGATGTAACAACATTTTGCTATCTTAAGGTGTAACTTATTCTGATTACAATATATGGATAACCTATTTAAATCTTGCTGGACTAGGTCACAATCGGATAAGGAGCGAACACATTTAAAACATTTAAGATCGTCTGCGTATAATAGAAAATTACAGTTTTGAAAGTATTCCCCAATGTCGTTAATAAACATTACAAATAAAAGTGGACTAAGTATGGAACCCTGTGGCACCCCTGATCGTCTGCGTACAATAGAAAATTACAGTTTTGAAAGTATTCCCCAATGTCGGTAATAAACATTACAAATAAAAGTGGACCAAGTATGGAACCCTGTGGCACCTCTGACGTCACAATATCTAATTTAACATATTTGTTTCTTAGGTTTTCACGCACATCACTCATTAAATAAAACTAGTTTTTACGGGTTAATGCACGAAACTTTATTTATTTATTGACGTTTCGCAGCCTTTTCAGGTCTGCATCGTCAGAATAATGATTTTTGACGTGACAACGTCTTAAATTAGGTTGCGGCTGGGAGTCACTTATGAAAAAGTGTAACGCTCGGTAACGTTACGATGAGTCACTCGTGTTAAGTTTAAGTTTACATGTACAATGTTTTAGTAAACAAAATATATTTCTATAGTTAAAATTTGTGCAATTCTTATTTTCATTCAATTCCTTGTTCCTATTGTGCAATTTAATTATATTCATATCAATAAATATTCTACCGAGAAAAAGACGTTGTCACGTAAAATCTTCGCCCGTAAAACCGACTTTACAGGCAACCATTTTTTTATTTAAAATTGTCGAGCTACCTTCGAAAGACTTATATTGAGCGTTCGGTTATTTCATTGGAAGATTTTTAAAATTTTATTGTCTATGTATGAATTTATTATTTAATTTACTTAATAAAGTATTTTATTTAAAATTCTTGTTTGTAATTTTGAGTTTATTTATTTGACCCTAACTACCGTAAACTACCACCGGTTCCAAAATTGACCTTCCTGAGAAGAACCGGCGAAACAAACTCAAGAGAGGCTTTCTATCTCCTTCTTATGTTAAATTATGCAAACAAAAAGAACTAATAGTATCTGATGGTCTTGCAGTGTGTGCTCGGGGTTGGGATTTTATCTCCTGTATAATAGGTTCCCAAGCTGGTGGTATATACCAACCATCTTCCCTATTGAAATTTGGATATTTTTTAATTTCAATAGCCTCGCGCATCATTCGAGGAACGAACCGCCGCTCAGCTGCAAGGATCTGTGGTCTATCAAATCTAATGTAGGGGTTTGGTCCCCCTAATGCATGTTCACACACTGCAGATTTATTTTCGCGCCTATGTTTCATATCTGCGATATGTTCTATTACCCGAGTCCCTATACTCCTCTTTGATTGCCCGATGTAGGAGAGCCCACAGTCGCATTCAAGTTTGTAGACACCAGCAACTTGAAAGGGTATATTGCACTTGACCGGTCGTAGAAACTGGTTGATCTTCTTTGGCGGCTTAAAGTATGTATTGATTGAAGCACGCTTCAGAATCCTCCCAATCTGGTCAGTGACTCCTTTCATGTAAGGTAGTATAGCAGGTTGTCGGTCGACTGTGCTAGGTTTGACGCGACTGTGACGGCGGCGTGGTACATTCAGGTTATTATCCTTCAGTACTTGCTCGACATGCTGAAGTTCAGCTGCCAGGTGTTGTTCGTCACAGACACCCCGTGCTCTCTGAAACAAAGAGTTTCCTACGGCAGTTAATTGTTTCGGGTGATGGTGTGAGTCACCATTGAGGTACCTATCAGTATGAGTCACTTTACGATACACAGTATGGCTTAAACTTTGGTCAGGATTCCTGATTAATAAAATATCTAGAAAAGCTAGTTTACTATCTGCCTCTAACTCCATAATGAATAGGATGTTGGGGTGTATAGAGTTAAGGTGATTCAAAAAGGCAGAAATTTGATCTGTTGGGAGGATTGTGAAAGTATCATCTACGTACCGCTTATATAGCCTGGGTGTGACAGGTGCTGCGCTGAGAGCCCTCTCCTCGAAGTCTTCCATGAAAATATCGGCGACAACAGGTGAGACAGGGGAACCCATTGCAACACCCTCCATTTGTACATAGAAGTCATCCCCCCATAACAGGTAGCCAGAAGTAAGGCAATGCTCCAGTAATGCTGCATATTCTATAGGCATATTATTTTCAAGTAGCTTCTTCTTAGTGATTTCAATGCAGTCCTGTACTGGTAGGCATGTAAATAAGGACTGAACATCAAAACTGACCATGATTTCATTGTCCATGAGACGTTGATCTCTAATCTCATTGACAAATTGGTATGAATCTTTCACATAGGTAAATAAATAAATAACGTCAATAAATAAATAAAGTTTCGTGCATTAACCTGTAAAAACTAGTTTTATTTAATGAGTGATGTGCGTAAAAACCTAAGAAACAAATATGTTAACCAGTACGGGCTGGAAACCGCCAATAAGATCCGCCGATTGGAAGGTCTGAAGACAAAGCGCGCAAGGAAACTAACATCGTTGAATTTCCTGAAGAGATGCCGAGACCACAATCTCATCGCACCTTGTGTGAGAATCACACCAAAAAAGGACATACGTGGGAGCGCCAAGATCTTACAAGAGGCAAGTAAAAAGCTACTTCGAAGGATTATAGAAGGGCTTCGTTCGGATTTATATAAAATCAACGGCACCATTGAGGTTTTGTCCAGTGATTTGAGGAAACAATTGTTATCGGAGGATTATCATAATTGCATTCTGATACTTAACAATCGTGAGTCATCAAAATTCAACGAGTGCAAACATAGACAAATAGATAAATATCAAAGACTATCTCGCGTTCAGGAAAAACGAAACGCACCTGTCAGAACCACAGACAAGGCGAACGCTACCCGAGCAGTTGTCAACTTAAGTAAACAAAACTTGGACGAACCTACTTTAAAAGTTTTGGAGAAAGGACTGAATTTTGCTGTAGCACCACGCAGGATACCGTACGAAGAAATTATCTGTAACGTAGAGGATTGCTTAGTGAAAAACAACATGAGAAAGGAAGACATGGAGGCGCTGCGTCAAGACATTTCATCAGTTTTAAGACGGAGCAAACTTCCGAAATCAAACCTTCCTCGTGATGAATACCTTGCACTTAAGAACTTGCGAACTAAGCCAGAACTTACTATCCTTCGTGCAGATAAAGGAAACGCCACGGTAGTAATGGATACGTCAGATTACAACGACATGATACTACAACTTCTATCGGATGAGAACACATATAAACTTGTGAAGAGTGATCCGACCGCCAAGATTCTCAAAAAGACAAGTGAACTCATCAAATCACTTTCCGAAACGTTGGATCTTGACATCAACTACCTAATTCCTGCATGTCCCAAGCCACCAAAACTGTATGGGTTACCGAAAATACACAAATCGAATGCTCCGCTACGTCCGATTGTAAGCCAGATTGATTCACCAACATACCGTTTGGCTAAACACGTAGCAAAGTTACTTTCACCACTGAGAGGTAACACAACAGCCTTTGTGAAAGATTCATACCAATTTGTCAATGAGATAAGAGATCAACGTCTCATGGACAATGAAATCATGGTCAGTTTTGATGTTCAGTCCTTATTTACATGCCTACCAGTACAGGACTGCATTGAAATCACTAAGAAGAAGCTACTTGAAAATAATATGCCTATAGAATATGCAGTATTACTGGAGCATTGCCTTACTTCTGGCTACCTGTTATGGGGGGATGACTTCTATGTACAAATGGAGGGTGTTGCAATGGGTTCTCCTGTCTCACCTGTTGTCGCCGATATTTTCATGGAAGACTTCGAGGAGAGGGCTCTCAGCGCAGCACCTGTCACACCCAGGCTATATAAGCGGTACGTAGATGATACTTTCACAATCCTCCCAACAGATCAAATTTCTGCCTTTTTGAATCACCTTAACTCTATACACCCCAACATCCTATTCACTATGGAGTTAGAGGCAGATAGTAAACTAGCTTTTCTAGATATTTTATTAATCAGGAATCCCGACCAAAGTTTAAGCCATACTGTGTATCGTAAAGTGACTCATACTGATAGGTACCTCAATGGTGACTCACACCATCACCCGAAACAATTAACTGCCGTAGGAAACTCTTTGTTTCAGAGAGCACGGGGTGTCTGTGACGAACAACACCTGGCAGCTGAACTTCAGCATGTCGAGCAAGTACTGAAGACTAATAACCTGAATGTACCACGCCGCCGCACAAACCTAGCAGTCGACCGACAACCTGCTATACTACCTTACATGAAAGGAGTCACTGACCAGATTGGGAGGATTCTGAAGCGTGCTTCAATCAATACATACTTCAAGCCGCCAAAGAAGATCAACCAGTTTCTACGACCGGTCAAGTGCAATATACCCTTTCAAGTTGCTGGTGTCTACAAACTTGAATGCGACTGTGGGCTCTCCTACATCGGGCAAACAAAGAGGAGTATAGGGACTCGGGTAATAGAACATATCGCAGATATGAAACAGGCGCGAAAATAAATCTGCAGGGTGTGAACATGCATTAGGGGGACCAAACCACTACATTAGATTTGATAGACCACAGATCCTTGCAGCTGAGCGGCGGTTCGTTCCTCGAATGATGCGCGAGGCTATTGAGATTAAAAAATATCCAAATTTCAATAGGGAAGATGGTTGGTATATACCACCAGCTTGGGAACCTATTATACAGGAGATAAAATCCCAACCCCGAGCACACACTGCAAGACCATCAGATACTATTAGTTCTTTTTGTTTGCATAATTTAACATAAGAAGGAGATAGAAAGCCTCTCTTGAGTTTGTTTCGCCGGTTCTTCTCAGGAAGGTCAATTTTGGAACCGGTGGTAGTTTACGGTAGTTAGGGTCAAATAAATAAACTCAAAATTACAAACAAGAATTTTAAATAAAATACTTTATTAAGTAAATTAAATAATAAATTCATACATAGACAATAAAATTTTAAAAATCTTCCAATGAAATAACCGAACGCTCAATATAAGTCTTTCGAAGGTAGCTCGACAATTTTAAATAAAAAATCATTATTCTGACGATGCAGACCTGAAAAGGCTGCGAAACGTCAATAAATAAATAAAGTTTCGTACATTAACCCGTAAAAACTAGTTTTATCTAATTTAACAGTTATAGAAACTTAAAAGATTCTGAAACCATGGGGCGCTCTAAGAACTTAAAATTCATGAAAAGTTTCGGCGCTCTGGTAGTGAGCGTGCGTGAATGACAATGTTCTTTTTTTTAGTTCATAATACCACCATGTATACGCATCTAGCTGTGAAAATTGTGGCTGTCTGATGAGCAAGCTCTTGGTGCGGAAGGGAGTTCAAAGGCGAAAGACTGTTATTATGAATTTTAGTACAACATCATAACAACCGTTTGGGTGTTATGTTTTTTTATTATTATTATGACATTGGATGTTTTAATGTTGGCAATAAGCTGTTTCAGTATCTTTAGTAAAGGTTTTAAAGCATGGGGGTAGATAAACAATCAAATAAGTTTGGAAGAGTTTTGAATGAGCGAGAGCTCCTGACACAGGCAAATAAACTTGCCTTCTTCTTTCCGGGTTCACAAAGACTGTATCACTAGCAAAATATTGGTAAATGTATAATATATAATATTGGTGTAAGAGAGGTAGGGCGATAGCGATAGCGGATTTTGCGCTCGAATTGGAGCGCCCGTCTGGAATAGTAACCTCCAGCTTACAGGAGACCACAGTAAAATAACACTACTTTTTGGTGGTGTTGTGTTTCTGTCGGTGAGTAAGGTTCCAGGGCTCCACGGGGTAGGGGATTGGGTCAGGGTAGGCAATGGCGCGAGTGATATTTTTTGTATCTCAAGCGTCTATAGGCTATGGTGGCCGCTTCCTATCAGGCGGGCCATAAGCTTGTTTGTCACCATTTTAACATTAAAAAAAATATGGGACAAAGATTTTCATTGCATATCTAAAAAGGAATTATTTACAAATAAGAAGGTTTTTAAACAGGAGAGGTAACGTCATAATTTTTACTTCTGGCAGTTCAACAGTAAACTAAACGACCGATTTCAATAATCAACTTAGTAAAATGTAAGGATAATCTGGTTCTGGTTTTCTTTAAAACAGTTGTTATTATAATCCAAATAATAAACATATGTTTTAATAGATTTTGATTTATAGAAACTAACCGTAAATTAATTATCAGTTCATAAAAAAAATATAATGACAGTAAAAATAAGATAATATGAAACTTAAAATAGTTTTATAAGAATACCATCATGTATATTCTAGTTAATGAAACAGTGTGTTGTAGTTGTAATCGCAGATTGGATATATTTAATGATAAATTGTGTTTAATGACAATGATCATTTAAAACAGGGTTATTTTAGAATTGCGATTAAACACCTAATATATAAAATTCTCGTGTCTCGTGTCACGGTGTGCGTAATTGAACTGCTCCGAAACGGCTCGACCGATTTTCGTGAAATTTTATATGTATATTCATTCAGTAGGTCTGAGAATCGGACATCTTTTTTTAAATCCCCGTAAATGTTAAGGGTGGTCCACCCTTACTTTTTCTTTGGACAAAATTTTTTGTTTTTATTTTTTTATGATACATCATTCAAAGATACATACAACCCTAAATTTTCGCCCTTCTACCACCCATATTTTTATGGCGATACGAAGTTCGCTGGCTCAGCTAGTATTATATATTTTTCCCCAACCAACCCCTCATTATGCCTTTATAACTAGAGTAGTATAGTAGTTAAGTAATGGACTGAAATGAAGATACCTTATTCCAGCCGAAACCAGAGAACCGTGTGTCGTACTTGGGTACAGACCGGTGCACCACTAAGTATGGTTCATAGTCAGATTGCCACTCCACCTTGTAATAAAGGAAAGAAAAATTTCATTTTAACAGTTGTCAAACCATTATACCTCGTTAAACATATGTCAAGGGTATGTATGTGATTTAGTTATTTTTTTATTATTACTAGTATGTCAGAGTAAGAGGAGGAAGGAAAAGAGAACAGAGTTAAAGAAAAAGAAAGTCGTAAACGTTGTTGAACTTCTGAGGTGATGGATTCCATTATTTATTATTGGTTGGGTCATTGAATGTGACTTCAAGACGAAAACTCCAGTCACCTAGTTCCTTATCATGACTACGGTCAAAGAAGAAACTGAGGTAGAAAATGGAAAGGAAAGAGGCAAAGTAAGAGAAAGTGTCCAGCTTCTAGATAGGGAGAAAAGAGACATAAAGATACAATCGTTCTATACCTCGTATGGGGGAGTAGCTGTGACCCATCTAGTGTAGTTGGTGGCGCGATATCCATTAGGGCCATTCCCGTAACATAAGATAGAAGAGACACAAATATAAAAGGTAGAGAGGAAAGAAACACACTCAAATAAATTCATTGTATTTATAAGTATTAACATACCTCGTATTATTTTTTTATTATTACTAGTATGTCAGAGTAAGAGGAGGAAGGAAAAGAGAACAGAGTTAAAGAAAAAGAAAGTCGTAAACGTTGTTGAACTTCTGAGGTGATGGATTCCATTATTTATTATTGGTTGGGTCATTGAATGTGACTTCAAGACGAAAACTCCAGTCACCTAGTTCCTTATCATGACTACGGTCAAAGAAGAAACTGAGGTAGAAAATGGAAAGGAAAGAGGCAAAGTAAGAGAAAGTGTCCAGCTTCTAGATAGGGAGAAAAGAGACATAAAGATACAATCGTTCTATACCTCGTATGGGGGAGTAGCTGTGACCCATCTAGTGTAGTTGGTGGCGCGATATCCATTAGGGCCATTCCCGTAACATAAGATAGAAGAGACACAAATATAAAAGGTAGAGAGGAAAGAAACACACTCAAATAAATTCATTGTATTTATAAGTATTAACATACCTCGTATGGCGAAGTAGCTGTGACCCATCTAGTGCACTTAGTGGCCCGATGTCTCTTGGGCCATTCCCTTAAACGGAAAGGGGCCACATCGCCTTTGATGTGGGTGTTGGCCAGGCGAGCCAATAAGGTCGGCTTATTGCAATAATATGCAGCTACTAATCTCAATATGACTACGATGCGAGTAATTTTAATCAAAAAAGTATAGAGCGAGTAAGAGAGGGAAAAGAGAAGAAGAAACATAAAAGATAGAGAGAAAGAGACATACATAGATAGAATAATAATAACTTTATTTGGAACAAGTTCATTGTACGAACAATCATGAAACGTTAAATCGTCTATAGTTTTACAAAACTGTGTTGCAGTATTAACGCCCATGCCCGTTTAATGTGAGAACAGCGTTCCTTTCAGTGTTAAAATAAAACAAACTGTATTTTTACCAGAAAGTTCTGTATGGTGCAGTTGAGGTGACCCCATTCAGTTTAGTTACTCGTGTGATGTCCCTTGGGCCATTCTCAGACACAGAAGACAGATAGAAGAGACACAAACATAGAGGCTAGAGAAGAAAAAAACACACACAGAGAGAACGATTCAATCACATTATTTTACCTCGTATGGCGCAGTAGCTGTGACCCATCTAGTGTAGTTGGTGGCGCGATGTCCCTTGGGCCATTCCCTTAGACGGAATGGGGCCACGTCGCCAGCGCTGTGTGCGTTGGCGAGGCGAGCTAGTAGGGCGGGCTTGTTGCGCGGCGGGGACGCGCGGTAACGCTGCGTTTCAAACGCTGCTACCACTAGGCACTGTGGGAAGTATGATTTTTGTTCATGTTATTACATTATAATGTCTTAATTAAAACGCATGCGTCAAAAAGTTCTGACAGTTCGAAATGCAAGCTTGTAAAATTTTACGACTTGTTGCTATATGCGGAGAACTATTGACCTTTCTTTGACTCTACGCGCAATTCTGATTGCGCTTAAAGCAATATAAATCAGGTACGGATCGCGAGGGAAAGAGACGGCTATGCATTTGAATAAAACAAATATATTCTATTAAAGCAGTTTATAGCAGGAATTAGAACAACATTTGCTTCAAATGCGTTAAATTAACAAACATTGATATCTGTAGAAAAAACGACACTTTACATACTATGAGTATTTTTTCGCATTTCTGCGGCAACTTGACTTTTCAACGGTTCAAGCGCTTCTTGATTGGGGCACATTTTGAGTGCACGTGGTGTTTCTAGGGTTTTAATATCTTTGCCTATAGTACTGATCATGTGTCAATACCTATAGCACTGAACCTGGGTAAATACCTTTAGAACTGAACCTGCGTCAATACCCATAGTACTGAACCTGGGTCAATACCCATAGTACTGAACCTGGGTCAATACCTTTAGTACTGAACCTGGGTCAATACCTATAGTACTGAACCTGCGTCAATACCTATAGTACTGAATCTACGTCAATACCTATAGTACTGAACCTGCGTCGATACCTATAGTACTGAACCTGCGTCAATACCTATAGTACTGAACCTGCGTCAATCGCTTAAGTACTGAACCTAGGTCAATACCTATAGTACTGATCCTGCCTCAATACCTATAGTATTAATAATAATAGTACTAGTAATAAATAAATAAAACCTACCTTCTTCTGCGCGTACGGGTTGACGAGCGGTATGGCGGATCGCAGATGGTCATATAACCCCGCCATGGGCACGAAGTCTGCGTCCATTAGGAACACGTACGGAGTATTCACGTTAGACAAAGCCACGTTACGGAGGTAGTTTACCGGGTAGTGGACCTGGGACAATATATCGTACATTTCATTTTTAACATTTTACTCTAACACTCGGAGGAGCTCGATGGCGCAAGTGATTAGCGCATTCGGCTGCGATCGTGGAAGTTAAGCAACTTTCGCAGTGGTCGGTCTTTGGATGGGTGACCAAAAATTTACTATCTCGAGTTCCTCCGTGCTTCGGAAGGTACGTTAAACCATTGGTTCCGGCTGCATCTGCAGTCGTCAGCACCCACCAATCCACACTGGGCCCGCGTGGTGGGTCATGACCTAATCACCCTATTCCAGTCATAGGGAAGGCCTGTGCTCCAGCAGTGGGGAAATTAATAGGCTGCTGATGATAATAACTTTAACACTGGATTAAAATCTTTTGTAGCTATCATTTTGAACAAAAACGATAAAAAATAATTTAGATTTTAAAGCGAGTTGCAGACCGAAAGCTAAGTTATTCCGAAACTGAGATAAACCAGCTGAGCTGAGTGAAGCTAATATAAACTAAAAATATGTGCCGTGCACACTAACAACGGGAAAGCTTAGTCAGTGTTGCGTAATTCAATTCGAACGTCACTCTACATGAATATAATCGATGAAGAAAGTTCCGATGATAAATTGGTTACACATAAAAACGAAGATTACCACTTATACTTAATTATTATCTAAAAAAAAGTCTTTCCAGAACTTTGCTCATGTCACATTCAATCTCGGGAGGGGTTTAGCTTACCTCGCGTAGCTGCGTCATCATCATCAGCCTATTAATGTCCCCACTGCTAGGGCACAGGCCTTCCTTCCCTATGGGTGAAATAGGGAGATTGGGCTATGACCCACCATGCGGGCCCAGTGCGAATTGGTAGCTGCTAACGGTTGCAGATGCAGCCGAAACCAACGGCTTAACGTGCCTTCCGATCAAGGAGGAGCTCGAGTTAATCATTTTTGGTCATCTATCCAATGACCGAGCACTGCGAAAGTTGCTTAACTTCAACGATGGCAGCCGAACGGCTCTAACCACTTGGGCCATCGAACTGCTCAGAACAAACTCAGCTTAGCATATTTTAGTTAGCTCACATAGCTTAGATTGCACATTTGCAGTCTGCACACAAGTATAAAAAATTGCGTCAACTTTGCGAGCTCAGCTAAACTAACTAAGGTTAGCTCATGCATTTTAACCCTACTGAAATTTCAACACAATAGTAAACTCATTGTTGTTCTTAACGAATTCCATAGTTATTTTTTAATAAAGAAAAGCTTTAGAATAAACACTAAACATTAAGACCACCATTAAGACACTCACCGAATCCTGTTTGAAAACTAAATGGTAGCCAATATTCCGCCTCGAGCTTAGAGTATCGGACCAGTCCCTGATGAAGCTTTCCAGCTTGGCCACCTCACAGTCCGACAGATAGATGGCAGCACTGAGAGGACCTTCGGCAGACAATAGGGGTGACGACGGGGTAATGGTAAACGAAATTCTTTCTTTCGCCAATCAACCAAAAAATGACAAAGATATAGTGCGCCAAAGTGTGGGTACCTAAGCGTCAGCTCACAACGAAATGCATCAATACACTGCACCAAGCGTAATCTGAATTCAAACAATGATATATGTATCTTTTCGCGTAGTAAATAAAGTTATGTTTGATTATGTGAATAAAGAAAAAATACGTGTCCAATACTTTTTGATCATATAACTGACAGGATAAATAGAATTTCGTTTACATTACGTTTGTTGTTGATAAACGAATATGTACCCTATGAGGTTAGAATTAAAGGCTAAGGGAGAAACGAAACATAAACAGCACCAAAAGAGGATTAAAATAAGAGCCAATATCATTCATTAAATGGGAAAAATGAAGTTTAAATAAAAACCTCGCAGTACGACAGATAGATGGCAGCACTCAACGGACCTTGGTTAGCCAAACAATTATCAACCCTATGTCGATAGGAATACGGTCTAAAGAACTAACGAAATGTACATAGGAAAATTGTGACGATAGTGGTAAGGTTTAAGGGAGAAACCAAGGAAGTTATATATTAGGTATAACATCATTGTGAAAATATTTGTTTCTTAGGTTGTCACGCACATCACTCATTAAATTAAACTAGTTTTAACGGGTTAATGCACGAAACTTTATTTATTTATTGACGTTTCACGACGTTTATCCTGCCTGAAAACGTCAATAAATAAATAAAGTTTCGTGCATTAACCCGTTAAAACTAGTTTTATTTAATCATTGTGAGAAACTAAACGTAAAAAAGACCTCGCAGTCCGACAGGTAGATGGCAATACTGACCAGCCTTTCGCCAGACAAAGCCAGACAATCAGCCTAAGACAATACAAATAAGGTCTAAGAGAGAAATTAAATGTAAATAGGAACTCTTTGACTGTTGGAATAAGGTTTAAGGGAGAATTTAAATGTAAATAGGAACCTAGCAGACCGACAAGTAAATGGCAACACTGAGTGGACCTTTCGCAGACAAAAGATTTTATCAACCCTATAGCCATAGAAATAAGGTCTAAAGGGAGAACGAAATGTAAACAGCAACCATATGCATAGGACGATAGAAATAAGTGCTAATAAATCACGGATCACAGTAATGTATTTAACGAACTTATGCATTTGGATTTATTTCATAAAATTGAATAGTTTTTTTTTATAGTGAAGTTATAAAATATTATAATGCCAACATCATTTTCAGAGTGGAAGTTATTAAACAAAAAAACGCTTTTCTGGATTGCTAATTCGAACTCTTTAAATACTGAGTCCTTTGCTTAAATATTAAAGATTTGAAGTAATAAGTTCAAATCAATATACAGTAGAACCCGTTTAATACGATTTCTTGCATAATACGCCATTTTGCGTCAGTCCCTGCAACTTGAGACATGTTTTCATACATTTCTTAACGCTTAATATGACTCGTCATCTCGTTTAATACGCCTAAATCGCCAACAAGTACCACACATATTACCTCTTGCGGCAGCGGCCAGCGATTGACGTGACGACTGTCGAGCGACGCAAGCTAAGAGGCTCCCTGGGTTTTCCTGGATATTCTTCCATTGATGACAATGTGGTACCGTATACAATTCAATGAGAATGTGAATAATACACAAGAAGAGGCCCTAAGTAATATGACCAAGAAGATGAGTCTCACACCGATTATGTCAGCAGTTAATGATTTAAAACGTTATGTAACTTCTTTGAATCAAAGCGAAGACGCACTGCAAAAGTTAAATTATGGTGAAAATCCTGTAATTGCTAATGCCTCAGAATCTTTTTGATAAACTAAAATAAGTATTTTTTTTTTCAATTTATTTATTAATTAATTTGCATACAATAAAAACATCATTACAGCACAAAAACCTTAATGATTTATCTATGCTGCAGAGTCGCTCCACAGCCAGTATTAATTTAAATAACGTAATAATAAATAATAACACATTACATTTTTTATAACACACATAATTCTTAATATAATTTAATACCTCAATGGTGTCGATTCTGGCATGATTCTCTAAACCTAAACGTAAATTTGACAACAGTGTATCGTTGTCATTCTCCATACAGAATGAAAAGGAGAGACTGATGTTAAATTTGGTTTTAAGTTTAGAGAATCATGTCAGAATCGATACCAATATCTACATTCGAAATTTTCCTATCCCGTAATCCCGCATAATACGCTTTCCCGCTTAAGACGTGTTTTGGTTGAGTCCCTGTGAAATCGTCTTAAACGGGCTTTACTGTAGTTCTTTGTAGATGAATACTTTGTGGATTAGAGACTCACATTCACATAATGTGTTACGGTATTTTAAAATATTGCAGTAATCAAAAGACCTACAGTATTTTTAAAAGTTAGTTATTAATACCTTCCCAATACTTGACTAATCTCTCTAGGAACTGCAGCCGATCCATAGACAATTGGAGCACGAGTGTCACGTCGAAGTTGTCTATGTCCGTGTAAGTGTAGTCCATGTAGTAGAGGTGAGTCCGTAGTTTGACTCTTTGAGCAGCTCGGAAACTTAAACACAAGTCCGAATGGTTCATCTGTAAGGAATTGTGTTCTGTTCTATAACAAGTGTGTTTTTTATCGTATTAATATTTAAATAAAACAAGTTTCAACGGGTTAAATGCACTAATTTTATTTATTTATTGGCGATTCACATCAATTGCTGGAATGTTGCTTATTTACTTTGTCGAGCTAGCTTCGAAAGACTTTTATTGAGCGTTCGGATATTTAATCGGAAGATTTTAATTAATAAAGTACATTATATGTTTTTTATAATTTTGAGTTTATTTATTTGACCCTAACTACCGTAAACTACCACCGCACCGGTTCCAAAGTTGGGAGACCTTTCTGAGAAGAACCGGCGAAACAAACTCAGAGAGACTTTCTATCTCCTTCTTATGTTAAATCATGCAAACAAAAAGAACTAATAGTGTGGGCGTATGCACACTTCTTTTTGATATCCCAATATTTTGTTCATGATTTTGTATATTCTTTATGTTTGTTTTATGAAATATATATAGATTTTTCCTTTTGGCTATTAAGGTTGTTTTTCTTCTATAATAGAAAAATATATTATAAACCTGATCTAGTCACGGAAATAGTGGTACTTCGTCATAATTATAACAAACCAACGTATTTATTATCGTAAAATATAATTGTATGAAATATTAGTGAGCATGGTTTTAACAAGATCCCAGGCCAAAGTTAAGCCGACTGTCCCTACCGATCAAGAATCCGCATCGGAAAATATACAGGTACCTCCTGCATCGCAAGCAATCTCAAACTCGCGACGACATTCTACGTCTTCGCGTTCCACTAGCTCTTCGGCGACGGCCGTTGCGAGAAAACTTGCAGCGAAGGCCCAACATTCACGCTACCTCGCCCAGTTGGAGATTGCGGAGCTGAACGTCAGGCCGCAGAGTTGGAAATACAGCGTAAAACAGCCGACATCCAATTGCGCGCAGAGTTGGCAGCGATAGACGCCGAAGGCAGTTATAAATCTGGTAGTCGCAGTGGCAGAAGTAACGAGAGCGTAAGGCGTTGGGTACTAAGTATAGAGAATAGCCATATCAGCATTCAGTACAGTCCACGGCTCAATTTCCGGTATCACCAAAAAATAATATTTCCTTACTTTCACAGGCACCTCGCAATAATATAGTAATTTCCCACAGTGCGGCGATTTCGAGCCCCACGCCGTCTCAGCCGAATGAGGCACATATTCACAGTCAAGAAGAGGCGCCCGCCACAGTTGCTGGAGGAAAAGACGGCGTCGCACTATGGGAACCTGCCTAAGAAAGCCATCTCATAAATGCTTTTTTCGTAACTATGATTCGAGGCATATACTATAGATCAAATTATAGCTTAAGAGTTACTTTATTATAATCAAAATAATTTAAGTCTCTGGCTCTTCGTATTTTATAAAGAAAAACATCTAAAGTCAGCGAATGAAAAAAAAAACAAAAATAATTTATATATGATTTCTGTTAGTTTGGTATAATTTTATAGTATCATAACAAAAGAAGTCATATAAGTGTGATACTATTTTAGAAAGCTTAGAATGTCTTTTTTTATGTAAAGTTATAATATACGCAGTATTTTTAATATTATTTAATTAAAAAAAATCTATATCATAATATGGACTATTTTCGTTTCTTAAACTTTCAGTTGGAGTTTTGACATTTGCCGAAGCTTGCTGAAGTTCTGTTTTTTGTGTTATTTCTTAGATAATATACTATAATTAGACGGCAACAATTTTTTTTTGCTGTATCAGTGCATAACATTGTCAAATGTCTTAGAATATCAGCGTGTGAAAATATATATTTTTAAGTTACGGCGTTGTATTGGCGTTTAATAAGACTTTTCTGATTTCGGGTTTCTCAGCACGGACATTTAAATAAAGGCTCTTGGCCCTTTTGTTATATTTTTTTATCTTATGCTATGCTAATATCGTGTATTTCACATAATATTTAGATCCCATTCCCATAAGAATCATAGAAAAATCGCAAAACCGCAAAATTGTAAAATAGTTTATATCTACTAATTTTGCGCACGTCCTCAATAATTTTTCGGTATAAAATACTATTTTAAAAATAGTGAATTTGAGTATGAAATATTACAGTTCTTCATTAGTTTTTGTCGTAAATAATTGGTTTTAAAAATCTCGCCGCAATGAGTCAGTTATCGTGTACCAGACTCAACCTAAGTCTCTTATTGTTTGAAAGTGATACAAATTATGGTATTTCCATCTCTAACTATATACGAAGCAATTTCACCGAATCTTCAGATGCAAATATTGCTAAAATTATCGCAAGTATTCAGAAGTCTTTCATAACTCAGTTTCGTCAACGCTATACTAAAGCTGGTCGGTAGAAAGAACAGGAGGCCTACTCTATTTCAACGAAAAACGAAATTTCGATCGAAATTTCGCACGTTCCCTACTCTGGTTCCGTTTCATTTCGAAAATTCGTCCGTCCGAAATATTTTGACAATCAAATTCTCCAAGCCTACTCTAATTCACAAAACTTTCGAAGGAAAAGTTGAATTTGACAGATAGTTGTTCGAAATTTTGACCTCAAATCGACGAAATGAAAAATGTTACCTTTTCATTTTCGTTTTGAGATTTTTGTTTTAACTAAGCCTAAAATACTTGCAAGAGTATTTTTAATAATAGCTGCTTAGCTCGAGAAACTTTTTTAGCATGTAAAATTAACAAATAAACCATTTTTTGTAATTTCGATACTTCAAAGTATTAAACGACAAATTGAGGTTGACATACAGTAGATTGTATCGACTCTACAAATTAGTCGGCTAACACTGTCAAAGAAGGTTCTTTCAATGTCATCAAAAAATTTGCCGTAAACTACCTATATTGTTTCCAAGTAAAAAAACGTTTTCTTAAAAGTAGAGATAAAAAGAACTCACAAACATGACTCATTCCATTCGTTCACGAAAACTGTTTATGGTTCCGAAGTTAATGTGCCTGTTCGAAAATGAAATAGAGTAGAGTCACTGGCGAAATTTCGTTTGAAATTCGTTCGTTACCGAAATTTCGTTTCGGAGAAAGAGAGTAGAGCTCCAGTTTTTAAGCCAAAACAGAAATTGGAGATGGGATTTGATTGAGCACAACTGTATGTTAATAAATATAAATGGTACTATATGCCATCTTCCGTGCACAAGATTTTGGATTCATGGTGAAAGTGTCATACGTCATTTTTCGGTATTGCCTCTTGGGCAACTTTTAGAAGATGCTCAGGAATCACGGAACAAAAACTACAAACAGTTCAGGCTTCACCATGCAAGAAAATATTTGAGGACAGCCACGAACGAAGATGTTCTACACACTATTGTATACCTCTGATCCGTACATTACATGTTTGAGAAAACCTTATAATAAAAATATAGAACTTTTTGATGAAGAAAAGTAGCTCTTAAGTGACATTTGAGCTACTATGATGTTTGTTTTTTAATTTAAAGCAGTTACCTTTATAAACTTATTAAAACAGATGTAAGTCTAAAAATCGTATATTTTTTGTTTTCCTATTTTTTTGTAAGTATAATAAATAAACTGTTATACACAAATTATACATTATTTAAAAGCAAATATATTCAAGATTATCAGAAAAAAAAATCATGATGATATCTTTATTAACACAGGAGTTATAGATTTTTGAGATGAAAATGAGTCAAAGTTCCCATAGTACGTCGCTCGCCTCGTTGAGGCCCTGGAGGTTTTGGTAAAGAAGGATGGACCCTCTCCTCGGCCTAACAGATTGAGAACCTAACATCTGTCTTCCTACGTTTGACGGTAAATCACCGTCAGACTGGTTATTATTTAAACGTGCCTTTTTGATACAGAGCGATCCTATACTACGTTTGAGAATTTAGCACGTTTGAGCCAAGCTTTAAAAGGAGCAGTTTGCACACTTTTGGTGACAGCAAAGCAAGCGTCCGACGTAATTGAAGCGTTAGATCGTCGCTTCGGTCGCCCTGAACAAATTGTACTACAGAAGATAAATTCTGTTCGCGCTTTGCCTAGGATTGGTAATGAGGCAAGGGATTTGAGTATATTTGCCTCACGTGTTGTGTGGAAATCGCGAAATTATTAGATCATTATGATTATATAAGATCTCCAGAATTATTTGGTGCTCTGTTGAGTAAATTTCCACATCTTTACGCTTACGATGGCTTGACTATGCGATACAAAACTAGGAAGGTCAGGCCAAGGTAGAGTTACTCTCTGAATTTTTATCATGCGAAGTTGACCTAGTTCTACAATTTGGCTCTATCAACGAAGCTACGACTTCTTCGCATCGTGAACGTACACACGCTGTGTCGACTATGAATCGAATCCTGTTCATGAAGCTGCGACTACATGCAATGAGCAAGCACGCGCTGGTTCGGAGGCTGCCTCTGGTGCAATTAAGAAGCATCAGGCCCAACAAAAAGCCGTCGATCATATATTCGGTTTGTTGTTGTTGTTTACAAAATCATCTGTTGTCAAAATGTGACAAATTTAGTTCAGTAACAGTGGATGACAGGTGGAATTTTATCAAAGAGAATAAAATTTGTCATCGTTGTCTTGTACCCGGTTCGCATAGTTTTAAATATTGCAATAAAAAAAAGACAAACTGTTTAGTTAAAGATTGCATCCGCAAACATAACACTCTGGTACATAACCCTAATTTCCACCACCACTTCAAAGTCTAGAATTGATGATTAAAGAGCAATATAAATTAGACGCTATAGGCATTACCAAATATGAGCCTCGTAGTACCGAGGATCAACGCGCTCTCCAAATTTTGTCAAACACTGCGCGTCGCTTACCAAATTTACCTCAACAACAACTTCTCTAGAACCTTGGGATTGACTTTGCAGCCCTCGCTGGATATTATTGGGTTTAATTTAAGCCCGAAAAATGTATTTTCAAATAAACTGACAAAAGCGCCTAGTTTCGGCTGAAGTGATGCGTATTTACGACCCGTTAGGAATCCTAGCACTTTTAGTAGTTACGGGTCGTATCCTTTTTCAGAACCTGTGG